TATATATATATATACATATCAAATCTCAACTGCTTGATTGCTTCTATCAAAATGTAAACATTTAGCAGATTAGATCTGGATGATTAAAGGCATGAAGATATTAAGATGTAACAATAACATCTGGATTATTCTGTAAAGCTGCTCTGAAATAATGTGTATAGTGAAAAGCACTATATAAATAAATTTGACTTGATTAATAAAATGTTTTATGTTATAATTTGGAGTCATTTTGCACCTAAGAAAAGTCTTTAATTAACTATAGCTGTAACAACAGATGAAACGAAAAAAGGAAAGTTTGTCAAGACTTGACTGGACAAATCCTAGCCTGAAAGTTAAAAAAGTCAGAAATCTGAAGATAATTTGAGACTCTATCCAGTTTGAGAGATTTAAAGAATGAGACTCTCATCCTAGGAAATCTTAAGATGAAAATTCTGTCATCATTTACTCACCCTCGGCCTCAAGTTGTTTCAAACCTGTATGAGTTCGTTTTTTTCTGCTGAACACAAAAGAAGATATTTTGAAGACTGTTGACGGTAGCCATTGACTTCCATTGTGTTTTTTTCATACTATGAAAGTCAATGGCTACCGTCAACTGTTTGGTTTCCCACATTCTTCAAAATATCTTCCTTTGTTCTCAAAAGATCAAGACTCAAACAGGATTAGAACGACATGAGGGTGATTAAATGATAACAGATTTTCATTTCTGGGTAAACTTGATCTGTTTCCTCAGATTGGTGGCGTTCTGCAGACGCTCAGGGTCAAGGGTCAGTGGCCTTTTTTCCTCATCTTCTGGGTCTGCCGGCATTATTCAGCGCACCGTTCCTGAACCAGGAGCAAACCATGCTTCAGTCTCATGCTGCCAGACGCACTCCTGTGAAAGGTGTGTAAGTTACCTCTCATATGCTGTGTGTGTATTTTTATTCCTAAAGTTTGCCTACCTAGAAGGCATGTTTAGATACAGTATCTATGTGCTCAAAACATGAAGACTGATCCATAATATAGGCAATATGAATATAATATTACCCAAATACTAAGGAAGCATTGCTCTTATCCTTCTAAAATTCACAATATTAATAGAATAGAATAGATTCTTTATTGTCATTTTTTTTAAGGAACAATGAAAAACCGTTTAGCGGCTCTTCAGAATTAGCAGTATAAACAAATGTGAACGACAAGAACAAACATATATTAGAAAAAATACAAACTATAAGCATATACAAACAAATGGGCAATATAGACAAGCAAAGACATAAATACAAAACAAGAATAGGATATGAACACAGTGTGGTAAACAAACAAGTGAAATCGTAATATAGTGGGGGAGAGATTATTGCACTTCTTACTCAAGTAGGAGGTTTATTGCAGGAGTCCAAGGAATGAAGGGGTTTATGCATTTAAACATTTGACTGCCTGGGGAAAGAAGCCTGTTGGTTCTAGGTTTTATTAGAAAAGATGATGTCCAATAATAATTCAATATCGATCATAAAAATACTCATATTTCAGAGACAAGTATCTATAAAAATAAAGTAAAAACTGTGATAGTAAATGACTTATTCCACTGAAATACAGCAGAACACTTCACTTCATCTATTTCAGGTTTTGACAGATGTATTGTGGTAATTCTACAATTTTTATTCAGACATATTCTGGTGGGGGGGGGGGAAGCAATCTCACCATGCTGAATTTACTTTGTTTTCATTCTAATAAAATCAATGAAGTCATTATGCATGATTTTTTCCTGAAAATTAAGCACATTTTACCCCAAATTCTTGTTACTGTAATGCAAAAAAGATATCATTCTCATTCCTATAAAGTGACATATTTTAATAACTTTTAAATTTCATGGGAGTATTTGTTGTGCTGCTTTAATGTATCTGGATTTTTTAAAAGTTAATTATAATTTTAAATATTATGAATATGAATATATAAATGTTAACATTTTTAACGTTTTTAACATTGATAATAATAAGAGCCATTATTAATAACTGAGCAGCAATAATAATTTCTGAAGGATCATGTGACACTGAAGACTGGAGGAATGATGGTGAAAATTCAGCTTTGCATCACAGGAATAAATGACATTTTAAACTGCATTACAATAAAACATTATTTTAAATTGCAATAATATTTCACAATAGTAATTTTTTACTGTATTTTGGAACACATAAATGCATAAGACTTCATTAAAAACATTAAAAAATGTTATGTTTCCAAACTTTTGACCGATAATTTATACATATTATATTCATATAATATATGTATACATATTTTTTTTATGTATATATATATATATTTTTTTTTATTATTTATATTAATTTACTTACTTTTACTTCTAATAAAATCTATGAAGTCTGCAGACTATGAAACTCTGTCTAGCCTCAGGACTGGAACAGCCTGCTGATGTTTACCTTGTTTACCATACACTGTCACTTCCACATGTTAATAAACTCATTTGAGATTTTATTTTGTCTGTTACATATAAATGGCATTTATTTACACCTCTACTGTACTTGTGATGAAAATAATCCTCACTGATTTCACAGGCGTCTCGCATTCTTTTTTTAGATGACATTTCCAATTTGGAAAATGATCCTAAATTTGAGTTTGCCATATGAACAAAACAATTAATTGCTCGTTCATTTTCAGTTTATTCAAGTTTATAGTACAGAGTCATGCTGTAACTGAAGATGTGTTCATGTTTCATGCATGATATTTTCTGAAGCAGGGCTGAATGGCTCAGTCAATGGAATGGCGACGAAATCAAGCTCGGCCTCCTCCACACCCTCTCCAGTCCTCATCCCTCCAGATCAAACCAAGAGCCTGAAAACCAGCCCAAAACCAGCACTAAACCAACTAGAGGAGAAAACTAGATACAAAACAAAAGACGAGGTGAAGACTCTTGGTCTTTTAAATTTCATTAATCGTGACATTTATTTACTCACCCTTATGTCGTCCGAATGTTGTTACATTTTCTAGTGGAACTTGAATGTGAGTTAGCTAATTAGTTGACTTGTGTATTGTAAGTAAGCGAAGCATCATAAAGAGCGTTTAATAATTTCCATATATGCAGCATTCACATAGGTATGTGTTATAAATGCTGCTGTTGACACTTTCTGTCAAAACATATCCTCCACCTTTTTTGGGGACTATTTTTAGTCTGTCATGTCAGCTGGATGGGTGGCAGAAGGGGGTTGTTTGTGTAAACAAAGAAAATGTGTGTGTGGCTGCTCCTGTCGACTGACATTGCTCTGCTCTTCCTGACAGAAGCTGTGCAGCAAAGTGCCAGATGTCTCCATCAACAGCGACAGCCAATCAGCATCCAGCTCTGACAGCTCTAGTGATGCTCTTAGCAGCTCTGACTCAGACGACCTGGAGGATGTTGACGATGACGACGACGATGATAATGATGATCAGAGTGATGATAGTGTCGACTCGGAAAAGTGCGGAAAAGATCCGAAAGGTATCCGAAAGGTATGTGTTGCTGTTGTTAACTAAAACTATGAATTGTTTTTTCATTCATTAAAATAAAGCTGAATTAAATCAAATGTAAATATTAGACAAATTAAAAATGTTGCTTTGGCTGCTAACTGAAATAAAATAAGTTGAAATGCTAAAATGACTAAAACTAAAACTGAAAAAACAAAAAAACAAAATGTAAAACACTTTACAATAAAGCTCCATTTGTTAACACTAGTTTAATATATTAACTAACATGAACTAATAATGAAAGATACTTATAAAGCTTTTTTTCATTAATGTTAATTTCAACAGTGCATTATTAATTAGAGCCCGACCGATATATCGTTTTGCCAATATTATCGGCCGATATAAGCCTGTCATTGATATATATCAGTATCGGCGAATATGCCAACGATACGAACATTTTTTTAGAGAACATACAACACAGATTAAATGCTTCTGAATGGTGTAATTACTTAGTTTGTCCAACAGAGCGCGCTCCGTTGTTTGCTACTGGACCCAGGTCAGTGTAGTGTAGAGATGCGCGGATGAGCTCAAACTTCACCCGAGTCCGCTACTTCAAATAAATGATCCGCCTGCCACCCACCCGCACCTATATTTGATCGTCACATTACAATGATTCTAATTCTTAGTTTTGCATGATGATACGATGAATGGATGGTTAATTTTTAACAGCAAATTCAGTGACGTTAGAGACTAGAGCTGATCTGTGTATCACGGCACGCGTCTGCAGCACATTACGGCTCCACGGCCACTGGAGCTGATCGCGGCCACTCAGTCAATGCTGGTGTTTATACTGGCCGCGCCACGGCCCAGAACGCATGCTTCTCGCATCGGCGCAACAAAATACAATAGAACCCATTATAATCAGTGATGTTGTCTACACTGGATGCGGCGCGATGCGACACGTCTAATCCCGACAGTAAACTGATGCCTCGTTCTATTTATGACGTACTGACACAAATTTCAAATGATTTTCAACGGTCCCTTTGTCGCGTCCTGTTGCGGCGCAGACACGGTGTGTCAGCATAGACTCCGTAACGTAGCAGATTGAAAAGTTAGTATGTTTCTGCAGTCCAATAGACGGCAGTGCGGTGCTGGCTTGAGTCTGTTGAATGGTGATTTAACGCTACGTTGTCATGCTAAAGTAAATAAACAACATCCCCGTCTTTAACTTTCGTTATTTATGTGGTGAAATGTTGTGTAATGAGTGGTATGACTCATCGTTTGCTACATTAGTAGGGCCCTGTGATTTCCGCGATGCAGAAAACATGGATGGAATCGCGGAATCCAGTCATAAATACGGAATTTACTGTATAATGCGGAATTTCATGGAATTTGTCATATTTTTGATGAATAAATAAAAAACAGGTCAGTACACTTAAATCAAATCGCAACTGCAAAAACTGCAAAAAGACTATTTAAATATGAATCCTCATGTTCTGCATGTTCATTTGATTACCAGAAAATACACAACACAGAATTTGTGAAAAAATATCATTCATTATTATTATTTATTCATTTTAGATGTTTACATTTGGAAAAGCTGTGCTTCCTGCATAAACCTGCCCCTGTTGGTTTGGCAGAAGCTTGCTTGCCCTACACAGTTACATTGTTTATTTTCTTAATTCAAGTTATATATATTTAGTTCTATCTGTGTTTTTTAAGTTATTTATAATAAGTGAACTTTACTGTTCAGTGCACTGATGTCAGACTAATTTTGAATAATAAAGTTTATTGTTAAATTGTTAAATTCCCTGCCTCCACTACATAGGCCTGTGTTTGTCACATCATTATAAGTGATCACCACATTTGAGTTATAATTGCAAAAAATTTGTTTATGTATATATATTCTGTTTATGTAGGCTATATACTGTATTCTAGAGCTGTGCTTCCTGCATAAACCTGCCCCTGTTGGTTTGGCAGAAGCTTGCTTGCCCTACACAGTTACATTGTTTATTTTCTTAATTCAAGTTATATATATTTTGTTCTATTTGTGTTTTTTAAGTTATTTATAATAAGTGAACTTTACTGTTAAGTGCACTGATGTCAGACTCATTTTAAATAATAAAGTTTATTGTTAAATTGTTAAATACCCTGCCTCCACTACATAGGCCTATGTTTGCCACATCATTATAAGTGTTAAAAAATGTTTGTGTATATATTCTGTTTATGTATATACTGTATTCTATATACAGTACCAGTCATAAGTTTGGACACACGAATGGGAAGTGTGTCCAAACTTTTGACTATACTGTACTATAATATACCCTACAAATAAAGAATATCGGCCGATATATCGATATCGGTCTTTCTTTACTCCTTAATATCGGCTTCGGCCCCCAAAAAACTCATATCGGTCGTGCTCTATTATTAATGCATTACAAAAATCTAAAGTTGGATCCTTTAATATTGTTAAATGGATCTGAGCTAATACAGTATGAACTAACAATAAACAGTTGTGTTTTTGTTAATGCATTAGGTTAGGAATAATGTACATCCAGCTGGTTGTTATCACAGAATAACCCCTGACAGGGTGATCAGGACCCCGACATGAAGTGGATAATAATTATCCTGCTTATTACGCAGCTAATTGCCACATAAGTAAATAATTAGACACAAAATATTGATTTGAGTTGAAATATTTGTACGCAAAGCTTCCGTGAACACAGCAGTTGTGAGCAAGCGGCAAGTTCAAACTAGATGGACATTTAAGGGATACGGTGCAGTCATACCACTCATTACACAACATTTCACCACATAAATAATTATGGCGATAAAAGATATTGATTTAAGATAAAACTGTTTTAAAATCTTAGCAGTTTGTTAGTTATCTTATAGTCCATTAGAGCGTACAAAACTATCGTGGCAAAATAGCAGCAGCTGCGTTTGTATGAAACGAGAGAGCGAGTCTGCGATACCAGGATGACATAATTAAATAATTGTACACATAATATTGAATCGAGTTTTAATATTTTAGTAGCCAACCAAACGCAAAGCTTCCATGAAGAAAAACTGTTCCTAGTAAGAGTATAGCAGGGACTACAGTTACCCGGATGAGCCTGTGTTATTAGTTTTTACCGGTTGTTATCAAGGGATAACATACCTCGGAATGTCGCGACTGACCAATCAGAATCAAGTATTCCACAGAGCTGTGTAATAACTGAAGTTAACTAATGGGACCTTATTGTAAAGTGTTACCAATAAATTTAAATATATATATTTTTTTAACTAATAAAAGTGGCAAAAGCATAATAATATAATAAATGCATAAATCAAATTATTAAAAATATTAAAACTGAAAATATAAAAAAGCTAATTCAAACTATTAATAAATATTATAATAGTGTGTATATATATTGTAAATATTATAATAGTATAAGTAATACTAAAATAACAGATGAAAAATATTATGAAATAAATATATATTTTTAAAATCTAGTTTACAACATAAGCGCCAAAATGTAATCTCTGTATATAGGTTCATATTTTGTAAACTATTTATAAAATTTTATACCATTTAAACAATTTATATAATAAAAAATATGATAGTATGTCATTCTGAACGAAGCCTTTGATTTGGTGGACAGCTTTAAAAAATATTTTAACTATTATGAAAAATGCCATTGTAAAATATATTATTATTATTATTATTATTATTATCATTCATATTATTATTATTAAAATAAACAATGATAATAATAATAATAATAAACAGTAATATTAAATAATAATAAACATGAAAAATAATGCAACATTTAAATAAAATAAAAAATAAACAACTGTTTCACCATTTATTTTATGTTAGCAATAAGTTGTCATTCTGCTTATTCAGGAGGAAATGCACAGAGACAGGAAGAAGAACCGGAACACTGTAGGGCAGGATAAGCTGGACGTCCGGGGTTTGCTTTTGTCTCAGCCGCCATTGCACATCCAGGCCTTGAGGTCCACAGAGGAGCCCAGCAAACACACCGGTGTCATCCAGACCACAGGTCTAGCAGCCAGCGCAAAACCGCTTGCACTAGTCACGCAGCAGCGCAGGGACAGAGATGCACCGTCCCCTAAAGATCTTCCCCTGCCCTCTCCAAAACCACCTCTGTCTCTGTCTTCCTCTCCCACACTGCCCTCCTCCAGATCTGCTCCTTTGAAGACATGCAAGAATTACCTCGACAACGTCAGCAAACTCAGACAGGTGACCTTCACTGAAACACAACGAGATAAAAGCATGTGCAGATGATATTTGCTGATCAATGTAGGGGAAGATGTTAGTTTCCGAAACTAAACTACAGTCCAAATGTTTGGAGTCAATAAGATTTGTAAAATGTTTTTGAAAGAAGAATTTTCTGCTCACCAAGGCTGCATTTATTTGACCAAAAATACAGTAAAAATTGTGAAATATGATTACATTTAAAATAACTGTTTTCTATGTGAACATAATGTAATGTAATTTTTTCCTGTGATGCCAAGCTGAATTTTCAGCATCATTACTCCAGTCTTCAGCGTTGAAAACAGTTGTGCTGCTGCTTGTATCACGGTTTCCAACAAATATTAAGCAGCAATATATATGTTTTCAACATAGATACTAATAAGAACCATAATTAATAATTGAGCACCAATAATAATAATAAGTGAGCAGCAAATCAGCATATTAGAATGATTTCTGAAGGATCATGTGACACTGAAGACTGGAGGAATGATGCTGAAAATTCAACTTTGATCACAGCAATAAATTACACTTTAAAATATATTCCAATAAAGAACATTTACTTTAAATTGTGATAATATTTCACAATATTACTGTTTTTACTGTATTTTTGATCAAGTAAATGCAGCCTCGCTGAGCAGAAGAGTCTTCAATAAAAATATTATAAAAATCTCACCAACACCACTTTTGATTGGTAGTGTATATCGTGCATAATTCAGTTCTCAGCTTGACTGTTTTCATAATAAACAATCTTCTGCATTATAATAAAAACATTAATTTCAAATTCTGTTTTGAATATATTAGTTGCATATGTGACTCTGGACCACAAAACCAGTCTTAAGTGTCAATTTTCAAAATTGAGATTTATACATCATCTGAAAGCTGAATAAATAAGCTTTCCATTGATGTATTGCTTGTTAGGATCGGACGATATTTGGCCGAGATACAACTATTTGAAAATCTGGAATCTGAGGGTGCAAAAAAATCTAAATATTGAGAAAATCGCCTTTAAAGTTGTCCAAATGAAGTCTTTAGCAATGCATATTACTAATCAAAAATTAAGTTTTGATATATTTACAGTAGGAAAATTACAAAATATCTTCGTGGAACATGATCTTTACTTAATATCCTAATGTTTTTTGGCATAAAAGAAAAATCTATAATTTTGACCCATACAATGTATTTTTGGCTATTGCTACAAATATACCCCAGCGACTTAAGACTGCTTTTGTGCTCCAGGGTCACATATGTGTTTCAATATTTGTTCATAAGAAGAGGCAGCAATCATTTCAGTGAATCACAGTAAATGACAGATGAAGTAATTGCATCTCTCTGTCCCGTCAGTCATCACTACCTCAGGCCTTTCCTCCACCGCTGAGAGGTGCACAGGAATCACAGAGCAGCCAGAAACATCCATTTAACAATCCGTTCCTCCCCTCACTTCCTACTGAGAACCACCATCCCGGCGCGGTGCAGGACGCTCCTCTGGCCCTCATCACCAAACCTCGCTCCCAGAGCACACGCGCCCCTGATAAACCACTGCTGGCCGCCACCAGCCCCGCGTTTAACATTCCCATCAACCTCACCAGCACGGGTCGCACCTCCACCTCGCCTGGTCTGACTCCCAGAGCAGCCCGAGGGAAGGGCTGTCAAATAGGGCGGAGGACGCTGAAGAGAGAGAGACCCTCATTGGTGGAGCACTTCAGGGGGTCGGAGTCTGAGCTCCCCGACAGCAAAGACTCTGATGACTTGTTAATGGAGGACGAGGATGAAAATGTTGCTTCAAATGACAGTCTCTCAGGTCAGCAGGATGCTTGATTAAAATATTATAATATTATGTGTATATTTATATTTATATTTATATTTATATATTTATATTTATATATTTATATTTATATTTATATTTATATATTTATATTTATATATATATATATATATATATATATACATTGGTAACACTTT